AAATTTTCCTTTGAAGAAAACATCTGCTTGTTGTAGGGCACACAGAGATTTGGGCCATTTTCTAAGAAGTGCAATATGGTAGTGTTAAGTGCATTATGAGAACTAAAACTGGTTGGCTGACCAAGAACCAGTACTCCTGGTATGTAATAAAAAGCCAGGTCTGTGATAGAATGTATTGAATCCATAAGATCTAAATCACAGCCAAGTGACAAACAAGCTGAAAAGGAGAACAGAAATGGCCTCCATAATATCTCTCATTCAGGTTTCTTTAACCACTTCCAGTCCGGACACTTTTACCCCCTTCCTGCCCAGGTCAATTTTGAGCTTTCAACGCTGTCACACTTTGAATGACAATTGCGCTGCAATGCAACTCTGTACCCATATGAATATTTTTGCATTTTTTTTGAGAAAGATAAAACTTTATTTTGGTGGTATTTATTCACCACTGGGATTTTTTTTTTTTTTTTTGCTATATAAATTAAAAAGTCAAAATTTTTTTTTTAAAAAAAGTGTTTTTCTTATAACATTTTTCAAATAAATAATCTTTCTTCATAATTTTTGGCCAAAATGTATTCAGCTATCTTTTTAGTAAAAAAAAAATAACCCAAATTATTTTATAACCAAAATTATAATTTTTCAAAAATTGTTTTTACATTTTTATTTTATTTTTTTATATTTGTTTTTTTTTTTTTTTTGTTAAAACATACTGTCACCCTAGCAGTACAGTGTCACCATAGTGACACTGTACTACTTGTGGGGGGTGATGAATATTTTTTTTTTTACACTGATTGCTTTTATACCCTTAAAGGCTGTAAAAGCAATAATTTCTCTTTCTCTCTGGCTGCATTCTTGCAGCCATTGAGAAATACTGTGAGAGCTGTGATTGGTCACAGCTTGTCACATGGTACAAGGCTGTTGTGAATAGCCTTGTACCATGTGACCTCTGTGATCGTTCACAGATTTCACACGTAGTAAGCAATGATGTCAGAAATGACATCTTGTTACTATTCATGTGATCGCTGATTGGCCAATCAGTGATCACATGATCAGGACCTCACACAGAGGTCCCATATAGCGATCGGTGCCGCAACGCATGGGCTAAAATGGCGGGCACCGTTTATGAACGGCAACCTGCCCCTGCACTGCACTAGAAAATACTTCTGATGCTCCATGCATTAACCATTTCCCGTCCGGCCCATGTATATAAACGGACGGACGGGAAGTGGTTAATGCATGGAGCATCAGAGGTATTTTACACTATTCCGAACACACTGGACCCAGGTTAGCATTGTTGCTTTACTGAGCTAGGGGTTTGCTTTTCAACAGGGACTCTATCCTTGCTGAAGTCCCTACAGCCTGAAGGTCACAGAGGTTCCTCCTGCAGCTCTGGTTATCTTTGGATTTGTCATGAATGAGTATATGACTAGTAGTGACAGCAAAACACAAGCCCTGATGTAAATAGATTTATAGATTATGATGTATTGAATATCATTCAGATCACATAAATATGAGAAATAGTTGTCAATAAAGTGATGCACGACTGAATGCTGAATTTGATTTTCATGGTTTTATTGGTTGTTCATACATCCGATATGTTGCAGGAAGAGAGGTGGAGCCTCTGCCTTGCTCCTCCCCTGGGTGTCAAACTAAAAGGTATTATTACAGGGAAGGTGAAAGAGGAATCTACGCACAACTAAAAACGATAGTCTTTTTTGTTCTTACATATCCATCTGCATCTAGACTCCTGCAAAGCTTTGGTACCTGCACGTTACTGGAGACCATAGTAAACAAGACGTTCTCTTATAATACTGAGTATTTCTGCCTCAGGCACAGCCCTGCTTCTTAATTCCTGAGAAAAGTAAAGTGACTTAACCAGAGACCCATTTGCCGCCAGAGCGACCACTGTTGAGGCCTTCAGCCTACCCACGAGGACAAGATACGAATCACCCACAATATAACTTACTCAAAAGTAAACAAGGGTTTACAAAAATAATAACAAGAAGCCCTTTACCAATCAACTGGGTCAAGGCTTAGACCAGCCCTTAAAACTAGGATCGCAGCAAAAGCTCCCTTTTGTATTCAAGACAGTTCCTCATCAGCTCACAGCAAAGTGTAGCATCCTTTAGATAATCCAAACCTCTCCCCTGCTCACAGTGGTCTTTACAGCTCCTGCAAGATGCCAGTTTTTTTTTGGAAATCCATCCTCTAGAGTAGTACTTGAGTCTTCTACATCCCGTATTGAGTCGTTAGCTGACTTGACAGAGAAGATCTCTGTTAAGGTTCCAAAAGTTGTTGAGATTAAGAGCGTATGTTAATTATTTTTGGGTTGAAGAACTAAGCACATCCTAGAACTCCCAATAACAAAAGGAAAAATAACTGGGTAGACCATGGCGGCTGAGAGACAATGCAGGAGGGAAGAGGGTACGGGATGACACACGGCAGGGAGTGTGGCGAAAAAATACCCGGAGGAACAGCAGCAGATCGGCACAGAGTGTCCGCACGGCAACGGGAAAGATTATATGGGTACTGCAGGTGCCACATGCTGGCACAGCCTAATATCCACGTTTTTACTTGTCCTCCAACTGCGGGCACAAAGAGCAGTCCTTCAGGCCTCTGCCTGGCCTAAGTCTGTTTCCAGCTGTAGGATCAACACTCTTCTGGTTGAAGATGGAACTCCAAGCATTCACCCGAGAACAAGGCTGAGTCTACGAGACTGTACATTAACTGCATACAAAAAAAAAAAAAAATAGGTTTACTGTATGGAAACAATCACATTCCTTGACATATAGATCATAAAAGAATATTTAAGAACAAGCAATCAAAAAAATATATTTTTGTACTCACTGTAGAATCCTTTTATTGGTGACAATTGAGAAATTTAGATACTGTTGGGTTGCCTACTGGGTTAACTGGACACAGTGGCATACACAATTCTAGGTCAGCCACAGGATAACACCTCCTCTACCCAGCATACCTCAATATGTAGCAAGCAGTAACATGAGCATGAACATAAACACAGAGGGTAGGACCTGTGTCCCTCAATGGCAAAAGCAGCACAACGGAGGGGTGGACAACACAGCAACAATCGCTACCAGGCCCCAGAGAGAACTGAGGACTTGCAGGAGCTATCTGAAAGATCAAACTCTAATCTGAACCAGATGAGGCCTAACCTAGAAGGGGAACCAAACCTGAACTAGTGAGAAGGTGATCAGCCAAACCCATTGAAAAGACCCACAACATGACCTGCTCCACAAAAAAAATGTTGAAACCTCTAAAAAGCATAGGGCCCAGGAAGGAACCTAGAATCAATCAGTTGAAAAAGACCATATGGTCTACATGGAAAGGCCCAAGGTCTTTGCACTCCTGACGTATTGGGATCACAGTGACAGAACTCAGTAACTAAAGAGGCTGTCTAGCCTGCCAAGCAAACTTGGTAGGTGAGACCTACCAGGTACAGCACTGTATCAGGAAAGCGCCACAGCCCACAAGAGGTGTGAAGTGGCCTTGAGTGCCCCACAGATTTAATCTCATAAAGCCAATATGATTGAAGGGATAGGGTGCATGGGAAGCACCCCCACAAGGGTAGGCAGAAATGAAAGTGAGAATTTTGCCTCAAAGTGCTGCAACAGAATCACCAGGTGGAACTGAGCATGAAGCGAATGCATCCTCCCTAGCAAACAAAGTGCAGCAGGGATACACTAGAAGGATTCCGCTAAGAAACCACTCTGCCTAAATTTGACCTCAAGACAAAGAAAGCTCCTGATCCCCCAGATCCAGTACAGTGTCAACTGCCGTGGAGCTAAAGACAAAAATCATAGAAGTATCACTGAGAGTTTTTAACTGATTTAAGTGTTTGTAAACCCTTACATATACCCAATGAAGTGATACACAGAGATAAAACAAATCCACCTGCATACAGTAAGTTGTATTTGTTTATCTGCAGTGTTCTCTTTTCTAGAGCCATTGAAAGTGCTTAATTTTTACAACTTGTCTGAGCTTCCAGAAAGCAGGGGGTGGGGAGCTGTAATTACACTAGTAAGCCTAGTGAGAGCTGATTGGAAGGAAGGGACACCCTCACTTCATACAGCACACAAGAACAGTGCTGAGGCTGTCAATCTGCTGGAGTTCCCTCTTCTTCACCCTTTTATCTTGGTGTCAGGAAATTTTATCAGAAGTGACCCATGCAGATAGCAGAGAAATGAAGCAGATAGAAATGACACTTAGTGTTCTGGATTTAGACAAGTACACACTATAGAGGGATATGCTTTGTTCATATTTCATATCTGAGGGTTACACTTTAAGGACAGAACTAGGTAAGGAATCCAAAGAACCCTTTTTAACAGGCAGCATATCTGCCAAGGACATGTCCAGATGGTCAGCTCCCATGAAGTTTTCAAGACGTATGCGCTCCCTGCCAGAAGGTACCTGCAGTAGGAAACTAGTGTGTTCAGGGAGACAGACAGAGGGCCCTCCAGCGATGATATCTGCCCTCCATGCAGGATCTAAGGGGCAACCTCTTCTCTCAATGCAGAGAACCAGTTGAGAAGAACAAGTTCCCATGGCATTGTCCTTAAAATAAACAGTATAAGCATAGCTCTGTGCATGTTATCCCCATAACAGGAAGGACTGCCACTCCTTCTGCGAAGGCACATCAACACCTAGATGGTGTCCAGTGGAGAAAGAACCAGGAAACCTGACCATGAAGGGATCCCCAACGTTGAAGTGAAGGAACCACTTGTTCTGAAGAGACAGACACCAGCCCCAAGGATGGTGGTTCTCCATTGTACAATGGGAGAGGAAACTCTCCACCACTATGCTTGGCTGCCGGGAACAGGAGATGCAACTTTATTATGATTTGCTTAAGTTCTAGCTTACACAAGGCTATGGACTCTTCTCGTGTGAGAGATGGGCCCTTGGTATCCTTCACTGGGTCCTTTGTGTTGGGCCCAGTGCTGTCACATGGACTCAGTCACATGCTCCCCCATGCTGATGAATATGTGTTAAGGGTGGAGATCATGGGCAAAATAGAGGTTTGCTTGAAGTTCTATCATCTTACCTGGGTCTGGGACTGCCCTGTGCTTGTTCTCTGGCTCCAGACTAATCTCTTTCAGTGCAAAGATGGAAGTAGCTGTAAAAGAAAAAAAATTTTAAATTACCAACCATTAAGAGGGCTTTGCCAGAAATGTGCAAGTTATCACTACGTCTTTATAGCCAGCAAAGCATCAAAGGGAAAATATATTTCTATGTACATACTTAGGACAGCAAGAACAATATAATAGCTTCTGGGTATGGAGGAACATGTGATACTTCTCCTACCCCCCCACAATGCAGTGCTCGGTACCTGAGTGGCCAATCACCAGGCTAAAGTGCTGTTGTGTACATTTAGGTATATGTTTTAACATGCCAAGCATACCTGCACTACTGCAGAATCTTGGGTCATTTCCTTGGATTAGGGCAGCTAGTGAGTTGATTCTTAGGTCATGTGTTATACCGCCCCTACTTTCAGGTGATTGGACATGCACAGCGTGTTACTATGGTAACATTGCACTACTCTGATGAAAGTTTTTTTTTTAATAATAAAATATAAAAAATAATGTAAAAAAAATTAAAAAGTGAGAATTTTTTAATTTTTAAAAATTTATTAGGGTTTTTGTTTAATTACTTGCCGCCCGCCCGCAATGTGTGGGAAAGATGCGGCTCTGAGCAAAGCGGCGTACCCTTATATCGCTTTCTATTTCCGGATGTCAGTCCAGGGAGAGATGAGAGAACACCACACTGTGAGTGAAAGCACTGCATTTTACACCACACGTTAGATTTGCGTGTTTAACACTTTGATCGCCCCTATTAACCCTTTGACCACTAGCAACATCAGATAGCATCAGGGTCAGTCAGCACCCTTCCCCATTCAGGGTCAGCTAGCGTTAGATTGCCTGCACACTTTCGAACTCACGTTATAGGTCGCTGATCACTGTCATTACTAGTACAGTGCTTGTACGAATCAATATATTGATCACAAACAGAACTATACTAGTGCCTCCTTAGTATGGTGTCCCCAAAAATGCAGTATTAGCAGAATCAGCCCCGTTCGCTGTCAGCACTAGCGTTTAGCCCCTCTGCTTTTTTTCACAGATGATTTGTATCGATCGATTGTGAGTGAAAGCAATTTATACACACAATACATTGCCGCTCACCCAAATTCAGGAAGATTCTTACATAAAAAATATGGATTTGGCTCAACACCTCAACCCGAAAAAGATTTTCCTAACTCGTGTCAAAAAATGAAAAATTATGGAAAAAATGTTTTGTACCGACATATATCATTGGCTTACAAATATCTTACAAATATCTTTTATTGATTAAAAAACAGACACAGTTAACATAATAATACACCCATTAAAAAACTGTCAAAGGTCACGTCTAAATATCAATTGGATATCTTCAATCCAAGTAGTAATTTATGTAATTGTACTTTATACTTGACCAATTGAATGCCAATCCATAGTTTTTATGTAAGAATCTTCCTGAATTTGGACTTATTGCACAGGTGTCCCAAAACTTTTGGCAATATAGTGTATGTGTAGCCAAGAACCAGCGTATAAAGGTACAGGAAAACCCCATCTTACCTTATACACCTCACTTGTATTGTCCATGGTTCAGGCTTTGCCTGTCACAATGTGCATACCCCCAAATGGGGTCTTCAGGGTCTGTGTACCATAGAATGTGGCCCACAGTTCTGGACCTTTATAGCACTCTGCGGCTAACTCATTAGTTGCACCACATACCAAAGTGAGCACCGAGCACACGACACAGTGTCCAAAGCAGTCATTACAAGCCTGTCGTGCTGTTGCAAGGCCTGAGTTTGGTCCCCAAGGTGTACATGGAGGGAAACAGATTCAGAAACTGCTAGTGAGCCAGAAGGCGAAAAGCAGTCAGATCTGAACAGATGTGCCAGCCAAAGAAAGAGCGAAGACTGGTGAAAAATTACAAAAAAAAAATATTTTCCAACAGGAGAAGGAGTCCTTCACCTAAGGACACTAGCAAAAAATGGAGCTATACAGAGTACAGGGGGGGGGGAGCTGTTGCCAGTGTCCAATCACCCAAAGATATAAGGAAGAAAAATAGGGGGAAGGGCCACCCTAAGTGTACTATGTTAAAATGCAAAATGTGGAAATGTACCGCTCATCACTGTTCTGGGCCCAGGACGGTGATGAGCGGCCAATTTCCACATTTTACATGATGAGCGAATTTTTATCTTCTATCTTGTGAGTGCTTTTATTTTGTGCTTAATAAATGGTATATTGAAATATTATACTTAGGTGGCGCTTCCCCCTATGTTTCCTCCATTTATTTTGATATACAGAGCCAGCAAACTCTGAGGACAGCTGCCACCGGTGGAATCGGTTCCTTTTATGGATTTTGACAAACTTTTATGTATTTCCATGGACAATAAAAAAGGAAGTTGAGCAGTCTTATACGTGCACCAGACACCTTTTTCCTGTTCATCCTATTGAAACAGAGCAGCATATAACCCATAATCTAAGAATCAACACCTGTGTCCTGTTGTGTACATTTAAATACTTTATTATTATTTGGATACTTTAGGGAAATATTGAAGCCTTTATCCGGTTCATATTGCCATACCGAATTCCTCTCTGCAATGCCCAGGTGCAGAGCAGTCTCCAAAGTTCCAAGTGCCAAAACTGCTTACTTTCCACTGCTGATTACTTAGAATGTGTGAAAAACGTAGATTGGACAACTATCAGCAGGATGGAAGAGGAATTATATATAAGGAAGAGAGCCCTTACTGTCTGGCAGTTTGTGAATACGTTCGCCCAGTTCCTGGAAGTATGAATGCTTCATGGCTTCATCCGCAGAGATCCTTCTCCTTCCCTCCAACTGTAACAGAAATATTGAAGCCATAACTCACATACAGTGCTAAACAGATCTGCATTCTACTTCCTTTGGCTAAAGAGAATCTGCCATGTTAACATTTAGGACCAATTCAGTTTTGTGCACTATGCATTTTTGATAGCCCGTTAATTTCAATGGACTGTTAAATGTGTGGGAATAGCACAAAAAGCACATTTGCATTATTGTTACATCAAATCAATTTGATCAAATTGCAGGTTTTGTCAGCAGTAATTGCACCTGTGTTTGCTAGATGCCAGGGGCTGCCATTAACATTTAGTGGCACAACGTGTGTCTGCAATAGGCAGTGTGATTCACTGCTATGTGGAAAATGCAGCACAAGTGTTGTGAACCAGCCATGAAAGAACCCAACATTCCCACCCCTTCCCTTCTACATACTTCTCCTCCACAATGCACAGTATCTCCCGGTTGCTTCCCCACATGCTCCCATATAGAGTATGTGCAAACGGCTTCAAGAAGAGCAGAGGCAGCCCATTACCAGGAGAGGCAGGACATTAAACTTCAAAGCTACATAGTAAAGCTGTCTGCTGCATCTTAGCTCCCTTACGATTATTCAGGAATTAATTTTTTCAAAAGCCATAAAAAAGTTTTTCCATTTAACCACTTCAAGTCCGGACACTTTCGCCCCCTTCCTGTCCAGACCAATTTTCAGCTTTCAGTGCTATCACGCTCTGAATGACAATTGCGCGGTCATGCAACACTTTACCCATATGAATTTTGTAGCATTTTTTTGAGACAGATAAAATTTTATTTTGGTGGTATTTATTCACCACTAGAATTTTTATTTTTTTGCTATAGAAATGAAAAAATCCAAACATTTTGAAAAAAAGTGTTTTTCTTAAAAACAAATTTGCAAATAAATAATCTTTCTTCATAGATATTCGCCAAAAATGTATTCAGCTATCTTTTTAGAAAAAAAAAACCTAAATTAGTTTATAACCAAAACTTATAATTTTTAAAACATTTTTTACATAATTATTTATGTGTTTTTAACATACTGGCACACTAGCAGTACAGGGTCACCATCGTGACACTATACTACTTGTGGGGGGTGATGAAAATTTTTTTTTTTTTTTTACACTGATTGCTTTTACACCCACAAAGGCTGTAAACGCAATCATTGCTCCTCTCTGGTTGGATTAATTAATCAAAATAGAAAAGTATGCTCCCCGAGGTCAAATGCGCCCCCCTTGACGGAGCGGGGCGCGCCCCACTATTTGAGAAGCACTGCCCTAGAGCAAGCAACTTCTTGCAGCCATTGAGAAATACTGTGAGAGCTGTGATTGGTCACAGCTTGTCACATGGTACAAGGCTGTTGTGAATAGCCTTGTACCATGTGACCTCGGTGATCATTCACAGATTTCACTAGTAGTAAGTAATGATGTCAGCAAGTGACATCTTGCTTACTACTATTCATGTGATCACTGATTGGGACCTCGAATGAATGGCCACCTGCTCATGCACTGCTCCTGTCCGGTCCATGTACATAAATGACTGGACGGGAGCAGTGCAGGAACAGGTGGCCGTTTATAAACGTAAAGTGGTTAAGCTAACGTAATGGCTTGAAATCTGTGTTTATATAGAGCTGCTACATGCCAGCTTTGTGGAAATGCTCTCCATCACACAACAGTAAGAACACATGGGGGAGATTTACTAAAACTGGTGCAGCTGTGCATAGTAACCAATCAGCTTCCAACTTCAGCTTGTTCAATTAAATTTTGACAATAAAACCTGGAAGCTGATTGGTTACTATGCACTTCTGTCCCAGGTTCTGTGTGCACCAATTTTAGTAAATCTCCCCCTATGTGTCTATTTAACCTGTTGGCGCTGGCGTTGGTTCAACTAAGCATGAGCAGCAGAATGCAGTTAATGGTTATTTACAATGGTGTATTCATTGTTCAAATAATTATTACCACTCACAGTCAGTACCTTTCCCTCCCTATTACTGACCTGTAAGAGCTTAGAGAGAAGATTTGCCCCATCTGAATCCAGCCTATGGAGACAACAGGAAAGTGTATTTAGATGGCAGTAAGCGTCACATGGAATATTGAGAAAAAGTAGATCTTTATGGCCCATACCTGGGAGCGTGCTTCTGGATAGGATCTGGAAAATATTTGGGATAATTGTAGGATTTAAATTCTTCATTAGATAGGATACCAGGCCACGTTTCTTCAGTGGGTGTCCCTGAAAAGAACAGAGGACTGCTTGTTAAATGAAAGCAATTATCTGAATAGTCAAGATATATCAAATTTGAAATATACATATCCCAGAGTTTATTATATTTGCATGTCCTAACTGTGTTATTAAGCATAGAATTCTAAACACGTTACAGCTATTAATGCTATTCTAATCTTTAAACGTTTGTTCCCAAGAGTACACTCTCACTATACGGCGGCAGTAACATGTAACATACATACTCCGTTTACTTAGCCGACCTGGAAGGTGAGGATTCACTATCTAACAGAGTACATCTCAAAATAGTAATTATGCCTAAGCAGTGGCCTGAAAAATTTCATTTTTTGTTTTGGATTTTGCCTAAAAAAATAGCAGTGAACATCCTAATATGTAACTCTGACTAGGCACCTGTATTCTGAAACCTCATTGCTGTGTGAGGACATCTGAGGCACTGCCATCTCACTGCTAATCTCATCAGGTTTGGAGTGAGATTGGGTAAGGCTATGACTACTACTGCTGCTCACTGTTTTCCTGAGGGTTTGATAGGGAGAAAGCTGTATCTGAGGGCCTGCAAGGCAAGCAATGCCCTGCTTCTGCTTCATTCTTTATAATTGAGCTTCCTCCACCTATCCTCATAAGTATGGAGAAATCAGAAGGGTAAAAGAGTGTTTCTGAATGACTAAGGTAGGTTAGTCAGGGATATTCAATTTAAACCTTTAACCCTGCTGCGGGCAAGCAGCAGGGCTCACCTGTCAGGTGGAAGCAGTGCTGCCGCCACTTGGTTCCACACAGCCCACTCCGCCTATCTCTGTCTTGCCTGCTATGTCTCCTGGGGTTCTGCTTGCCCATCTGCAGCTCTGGAACCAGTTCAACGGGTGTCATGTAGAGGGGATGGAGGAGAGCAGACATGTCTTCTCGCTTCCTCTTCTTGTCTTGACCCGGAAGTGGCGTTTTGACGTCACTTCCAGGTCCTCGTGGACAGATTTCCTGGCCATTTAGGTAGGAAAAAAATGTACTGCAGTGTGATGTGTACTGCATTACATCCAGTGGAGTACAGGGGAGACCCTGGATGTCTTAATAAAGAGAACCTGTCACCAAAAATCATCACATAGGGGACTTTTTGTCCCCTTTGTGACTTAGAAAAAAAAATCTTTATTTTTTACTTGTAAAAAAATGAGAGTTACACCCAAGCACATTTCCCCCCCCCCCAAAAAAATATTTTTTGAGGCCCCCCACCCCCACACATATGCACATACAACCGTAAAAGCATATGCCGAGGCACCTATGCATGAAAACATTGATTGCAAAGCACATGTTGCATATTGCCAGAGTGATAATTCTAGCACCAGACCTCCTCTGTAACACTAAACTGATGACCTATAAGGGGCTTTAAAAGCATCACTTATAGAATGGTTTACTGCCATTTTACAACGCATGCAAATTTAAGGTTTGACATATTGGATATCTATTTACTCGGTGCAACCTCATCTTTTATATTTTACCAAAAAAAAAAAAGAATAATTTATTGCTGTTTTGTGCCCTAAAATTAAGTGTATTATTTACTGAAATTTTGTGTTTCCTAGAACTTTGTGGTAATATCTTGTGACATAAATTGGAATTACCAATACTTTATTCTCTAGGGTCTTTGCTTTCAGAAAATATATAATGTTTTGGGGGTTTTATGTAATCTTCAGGCCTAAAATGATTATTTTAAACATATGCAAAAAACGCAAAAAATGGCTCTGGCAGCGAAAGGGATAAAGTATAAGCCTGACACTCTCCTTTCCTGACGAGCAGCCAATCGGTGCTCATTGCACTGCCAGGTCTCTCCCCTCCTTGTTAGTCCCTGGGTGTGGTACTGGAGACAGGCAGGGAGGTGACAAGTAGATTGGGAACCCGATTTAGTCCCTGGACAAGTAGTTTTTCAAAAATTGTTACATCCGTTAGTGCAGACTGCTCTCTATAATCACTTATTTACCAAGTATCCTGAATATAAAGTGCAACTGTTCTTCCACAGTGGATCCTGGGAAAAGAGGTCGCCCGGTGACCATCTCATAAAAGATGCATCCGACGCCCCTAAAAAAAAAAGAGAGAGATGTTTGATATGCATAAAAATGTCAGTCCTCCAAAATGGATAGTGCAGTCATAAAAATACTCAGCAAACTGTCAGAGGTAAATACTTTGGTCAGAGCTGTGTGTTTTATTCAAAAGTGTCTTCAAAATCAGCATTTACACAGTTTTGATAACCCTTTTTTTACAGAAGTTTTGTTCCTATTGCCTTGTAATAGTACATTGTAAGAAATGCAAAGTATGGGAAGGGGGGACTTCAGGTTGATACTGTTGTAAATACTGAGAAACTGGTAACTGAAGCTGGGCAGAAGAACAGGATGGCATGTGTCTAGCCTCAGGATACATACTGCATGTTCATTCTGTGATTTTTCCACAATTTAAAGTGTATCTAAACCCCAAAACACAAATGTAATATATTGTAGCTTACCAGTCCTTAGATGTGGTTGCAGTTATTTCTTTTTCTGGCTTTTTACTACTTATTTTCACACAGGAATCTGTTAAACAATAGCATTCCTGTTCCTTTGTGGCTATGCTATTTTTTTTCCACTGTATTTATGGAAGGAGCCATGGTTGTTATACAAACATGTCTGCCTTTCACCATCTCTATTTCATGGTGGATTGACAGGATTAGTGGTTTACAAGGTAAAGTTGTCTGTGCTTTATTAAAGCTCACAGGAAGTGTCAATGTCATGTTTGACATGACTATCATATTGACTGTCATATGCCTTTAAGTGTTTTCTATATCTTGTCTCTGCTCCTCCTTTCCTTTGGTTTAGTTAATGCTGTAGATATCCCACCCCTTTTCCCAGTAAGGCATTGCAGCAAGCATCATGGCATGGAGCAGAAATATTATGATCTTTTGACCTATCGAATGTTCATTGTTGTAAAATTCTCTCAGTTTATGGAATAAACTTCACAAGATCTACAAGATGTCTTATCGATTGAGTCACTGACTGTGGTATCCAACTGAGGTTGAAGTTATCACTATCTCATCACAACTGTAAGTTACAGAGATAACACTATCAATGCTTATATTGGAGAGACAGAACAGTCAAGGACAATGCATTGCTGGCAGAATCTATATGCATTTTCAGTGCTCGCCGAAAATGTTCTTAGCCTGAAAAATGAAAACGAATGCAGCCACCATCTAAGAGATAGGGGTGCTCAACCTGTGGCCCGTGGGGCCCTCTGATGTGGCCTGCAACCTCAAACCAGGGAAGCACTGTCAGGAATGGACTTGCCAATAGTGGAGGGACTCACCTGCCTTGTGGGCTGCAGTACCAGGGCTGGCCAGCGGGTGCTCTCAACAACCAGAGGTTCACTTCGGCAATTAGCCATCACCTGGGGCTGATTGCAGGTGGTGTGTTTAAGGGATGGCCAGACCTGCAGTCTGTGCCTTGGTGTGTGTTTTTCCATGAGCCCCTGTATCTTGTAAACTGCATTCCTGTTCCTGTTTCTGCCTGACTTGTTGCCGACCCTGCCTGATCCTGACCTCTGCTGACTTCTCCTGTTTGATCCCTGGCTTGTGACCCTGACCATTCTCTGCCTGACCCCCTGTACCTACCTGTCCGTTAGTTGCTGTACCCGGATCGTGACCTGACTACTCTCCGCCTGCTCCTCCTGTACCTACCTGCCCTATAGTTATCGACCCGGCCTTCCTGACTACGTTGTGCACTATATGTGTATGTACCTGTGTATCTATATCAGTTTAGGTTTGGGTTTGTTTCACCTTGTTGTATGTATTTGTGTTAGCTTGGGGTTTGGTGCACTGCGTTTATGTTTGTATTGTTAGTCTCAATAAATTATATTATTTACTATATCTGAAGCCTACGTTTCCCTGTGTCAGTCCACACACTTCTGGTCACACCCGCATCCCTGACAAGCACATTCCAATGCTTTGGGATGACAGATCAGAAAGCCCAGATCACAATTAAGGGGTTTCCAACCCGCCATCCCAGAGCATCAGAGTGCATGGAGCCGGTGCTGGCAGTGGAGGAAGCAGTCGGCCATGGTAGGAGCAGAAGCCGCATAAGTCAGTGCTTCCTCTGTGGTGCCGGCTCCTGTCCCAGGTAGTGTGATACTAAGTACACTTCACCCGGGACCTTTCAGGCAGCCTGGAGAGCGTTGCCAGCACAAGCTGGGAGAGAATGAGGAAAAAGGGTTAGCCGCACACCAGAGGATTGATTGATAATTTATTGATCCATCGGATACAAAGAGCACCAAGACATATATAAAGCTGTTAACGCGTTTCACATGATCACGTGCTTATTCATAACCAAGCTGGAAGAAGAAAAGGCTGGTGTATTAAACATAACAAACACTGCACTTTTGTAATGGGCATATTAGCACTTATAAAAAATGGTTATTAGGCTGCTTTCGCACTGCAGCTGCGGCTTTCCTGCAGGTTGGCTGCACTGAGCCAACTTATCCTGAATACAGGAGTTTTGGTGTGCTTTCAGAAAGTGTACCGCACAAGCAAGATGTAATAGCAGTCTATGGCCCAGTGCAGCTAATCCTCAGGAAAGCCTCAGGTGCAATGTGCCACACCTGAGATGCAGGTAAACCACAATGCATTAGTGTGAAAGCAGCCTTATAGGGGCTTAAAATGGGACAGTTTGGGGCAGTAAAACCCCATTGTTCATTGTGGCCTGTGACTGGTTACAAATCACTTGAGTGGCCCTCGCTTTTCAAAAGTTTGAGCACCCCTAATTTAAGGATGGGTAAGTTTCAATATGTTAATTTTTTGTTTTTAAATATGCTTTAAATCATTAAAATAGGCAAGCATACCAGGCAGAACATGCTAGGGGTTTATAGACAGCTGGGTGTCCTCTTCTGGATCTTACTTACCACATATCAATCTGTGTGGAGTATTCTGTTGATCCCAGGAGAATATCTGGGGGCCGATACCAGAGCGTCACCACCTCATTAGAGTAAGTCTTGGTGGGGATAGATTTTGCCCGTGCCAAGCCTAGAAAAAAAAAATGTGATATCTTCCCCCTTTCCTTTCACCATTATCTAATCATGAGACAATATCAAGGAATTGTACAACACATCACTTATAGGAGCTAAGCAGTTAAAAAGTCCATTAGCCACTGTGCTAATGGACTTTTATACACTGACACTAATTGCAATTTAAAAAACCACAGATGTGGGACATTAACCTCTAATTGGCATTGTAACCCTGGTGTGTCTGTACCAAGGCCAAACATTCCAGGGGATGTAAACTTTTGATGCATTCCATTTGGGTGATTTCTGTTATCATTATATTTAAAAAGGAGCCAATCAACTATTTGATAATAAATGGCTTCATATGATCATCATCCTTCAATAAAAGAGCATTTTTTGGCATGATCAGTCATATTTTCAATATCAGTGCCAAAATGTCATAATTTCTGCCAGGGTATGTAAACTTTTGAGCACAACTGTATAACTGATGTCAGTGACAAACAGCACAGTGGCTAAATGGTTAACAGTTCTGCCTGGCAGTACTAAGGTTATCGTTCAAATCCCAACCATGGCACCACCTGCCTGGAGTTTGCATGTTTCCTCCAAGTACTCCGGTTTCCTCCGACAATCCAAAGACATGCTGGTAGGTTAATTAGATCCTGTCTAAATTGGCCCTAGTATGAATGTGAGTTAGGGACGTTAGACTGTATGCCCCTTGAGGGTTAGGGACTGATGGAAATGTATAATATATATGTGAAGCGCTGTGTAAATTAATGGCGCTGTATAAATTAATTATTATAGTCACTTTGATACATCATGCTTTCTGTATAAGAGACATGAACCTGTAATGGGTGTATTTGGGAACACCTTCCTTGCATTACAAAACATAAGCAAAAAGAGTTCCCAGATAAAGTGAGTGGAATAGACGAGTGCAATACAGCAATAACTGGCATAAATACTGAAACCACGAGGGAGTGCTCCTTGTATGCATATCAAGTCTGAATGTTAAGGTTTGACTTTTCACTTTGAAATGCCTGTTATCTGTCACTTTTATCCATGCACATTAGAAAGACTGTCTTCTATCTGGATTACTATGTGTGCTGATTTTAACTTCTCTGTTGCATGCTGGGAGAAGCCAACAAGCTGTATGGGATTGAGCTGGGATTGCCAATATATACTGCAGTAGGTGAGCTCTCTGTACAGCTGGACATACACTAAAGACGGCCATAAATGGATTGAATATCAGCTGGTTCAGCAGCGACAGGCAGATTCTATCCATCTTTCGGCAGAGGCTGACTGTACCCAAGTTGACCCATCGATCAACTTCAGTACAACCAGCCTGTCGGATATTCAGCATTCAATTACTGCCTGTGGCTAGCAGTAATCATATTCTGCTAACTGGGAAAGCTCCCCGTGCTCCCCCCTGGAAAAATACAATATTGTTGCAGGAAGCAGTATGGTGAAAGGAAGAAAATCGAATAAACTATGGCTTGCCTAAGCAAATTTAGTCTGGTTTCTAATGAACCAGCCTAAATTAAATCAGTGGGTGGCCCTGTTGGCAGCACTTTGCCCAACATCTTTCTTTCTGTATTTCGCTCACCATCTTTTTATTGAAAAATCGAAGCAGCTATGCAGAAAATAGTTGGCCAAACAGCATCTACATCCAATCAGATGCAGTGACTGTTTGGATATTCTGACAGCCGACAGCCTCAGTTGTCAGAATACAATAGCGGCAGTGAGTGATTCATCTATCCATCCATCCATTTTGCTCAGTCTGTTCAGTGTATAGTCAGCTCTTCTTTACAAGTTATACATCTTGCATTAAAAGAAAGCCAATTTGCCAGCCCTTGTGGCTGTAACCAAAATGTTCTCTCTTTCTCACCAAAGTCAGCGAGTTTGAGCTCCCCCTTCTCGTTTATCAGCAGGTTCTGTGGCTTCAGGTCTCGGTGAAGAACCTTGCGCCGGTGACAATACGAGAGCCCTCGGAGAAGCTGGAAAAGAAAAAGCTGAGAAAAACAAGAATATAGAACATGTTATTTCTTCTGTTTAACCAAAAAACCAAAATCACAATTACTTGTACCACCTTCACACTTGCCGACTCACCTTGATGTTGTGCAGGTTTATTAGGTTCCCACAGTCATCTAGATATTGCTTCAAATCTTTGTCCTGCATGCGGAAAAAACAGATTTAAATGTAAAGGATTATAGAGTCAATGGTACACTGGCTCAGAAGTGGAATTGTGATCATTTAAAACAGGTTATGACAACTGTTTATAAAAAGATGTCAGTACATATTTTGTGTTGCTGTTTTCTCACATTGTAAGATCGTGTCTTCTACCCACTATCCCTAGGCACCTCAACTTCCCCATCCCTATTCTACCTTTCACCTTCCCTTCCCCCAGACCCCCCCCCCCCCTTTTTAGCAGCCCCACGGAAAAAAGCTCAGTTCTGTGAAGCTGCTAATTTGCAGTCGGCGTCAAGGGGTTAAAGTAAATCTGACATTCTTATTAAAAGCTGAACTCCAGGCAGACAACGGAAGGATTAAATAAATAAACTGATCTACATCCAGAGGATTTGTGTTCTTCTTCATCCATTTTCTGAGATTTATATAGCTCTGACACCCAGTCCTGTTTGACAGCTCAGAAGACCTAATTTTTCTCTGCTGCAATTAAATAACAATAACAGGTACACCCCCGGTATGTGAATGGACAGCGAAAGAAGAAGCAGACTGATGAGCTCATATTGCTATCCCTTTGCTTTTTCCTATGAGCACTGCAGGTCAACCGATTTCTTGTGCTGTTCCTTCCTCTCCCAGTCTGAGCTCTGCTGTACAGTGAACTGCAAGAGGCTAACATCGAGCCATCAAAACCCTCTCCTCTGTGTGCCCCTTTGAAACTAGTCTCACTATGATACCAGGGGTTGACTTGAGGGGTAGGCCCTGGACACTGCGACTCCTGGTAATGAAGTCAATCAATTCCTTATAAATCACGGTCTTCTGAATATTATTAATGCTATTTATAGACACATGACTGAGCAGTCAGCTGCCATTTTTAAAATGCTACCTTACTCCTAGCATTTCTCCCGTTCTGAGTAAAGGTAAAGGCTCCATTAAGTCATTAATAGATGAGTAACGACTACTGTACTGATTGTTTTTGAGATGGCACTCACCAGGTACTCGAAGACCAGAGTCAAGGTCCTCTCAGTGTGGATGATGTCATGTAGAGTGACAATATTTGCATGTTTTAAATCCTTCAAAAGGGAAACTGGAAGAAAACAGTAATGGTACTGTTCAAGCAATGAAAGCAGAATGCAATGTATACAAAGATTGCTTACTAGAAATATTGGCCACATAATAAGACTACATTCCTTAGTGTGTATTGATCAGTTTCTAACTCATCTAAAACCTGCATCCACAGCAGAACTGGATGCTCCTAAAGACTTGGAGGTGTTCCAAAGGACAGCTACATTTCAAAGGAAAATAACCTTCCAGTTTCACGGAGTGAACTGTCTCATCAGATGTGTCTTTGTCACTTACCTTCCCTTATGGCGGTACAGGGGGCACCCTCCTCATGTTCCAGGCGAATTTCTTTAAGGGCAACCAGGTTTTCAGTCAATTTACTACGGCCCTTGTAAACAGTAGCATAGGTTCCCTGACAAAGAAAGACATCTAAGCCACAGCCAGCCAAGGACAAAAGAAATACCGATAGGACATAAAACGTAACGCCAAAAACATTTTTTGGTTGGGAATAAAGTTTTTATTTCGGTCTCTGACCCCAGTGGGGAGATTTCCCCTCACCTCCTATCCCTGCGACATCAGGGCAAGAACTGGCAGTAGAAGTTGTCACTGGGGCTGGAAGGCACAGACAACAATAAGATTTTTGTACTAATCAAAAAATCCTTTTTGTGAAGTCCATTGAGGGACACTGAAGTCTGGAAGCTTCGGGATATATACTGCTGCCTACAGGAGGAATGGACACTGGCAAACAAAAAAACTGTAGGCCAGCCAAACATAACCCATCCTATTACCAGCCTGACAAAGCATTTGTGACAAGTCCCTTTTGCACTCCTTACTAATCCAGCCCCCCAAGTTGCCAGCACTAAACTCAAAATAATACACTACAAAAGAGAAAAATGTACACCAGTGCTCCACTAGTGTAAGGGGAAGGTGTATGTATTCCTTATTTGTATTGTAGTACTGAGAGCATGATCATAAACACACAGGAGGTGGGAGCTGTGTTCCTCAATGGACTCCTATTTTCTTTCTCATCCATTGAGGGGCACTGAAGTCTTCAAGACATTCAAAAGTAGTCTAAGGGGTGGGCATAATAGCAAACAATCACTAACAGGTCTAAGAAAAAGCAACAATAGAGAATTGGGGACTGCTAACAGCTCAAAGAGCTGCCTTATCCCATTGCAAAACCAGAAAGGGCTCCTTGAAGGATAACACCATCAGCTCAGACATTTGCTTTGCATAGGTAATGGCTACAAGAAATGCCACTTTGTGGTTGAGATTAGAGAAATGAATGACTCCAGTGGGTTCAAACAGGAGATTATTGAAGCGCAGGATGTACCAGATTCAGATCCCAAGGAGTCATAGGGGAATGAATAGGGAGTAGATACATGAGAGATCGTTTCAACAAAGGACTTAATGGCAAAGTGCAAATCAATAGTCTCTGAAACAGAACAGAAAGGGCAGAAACCAAACCCCATGAAGCATCTGTAAGGAGTCTTCCTAGGTCTACATAGTGCATCAGCCTAGGCAAGTCCGGAACTACTTGGATCACTGGAATGCCCTCCCAATCTCAATCCTGCAAAGCAGACAAGGAAGAGGTTTCAGAAGAGGAAAGGCATCGTTTAATGATCCCTCAAAGCAATCAAAGCATCCACTGCTGGATCCCTGCACCTGAAGACAAACATGTCCAGTCTGTTCCTGAACCTGAAGGCCAGGAGATCCACATCCTGTGACACTGGTCCTAGAAATCTTCAGGTTGTAGGGACTGCTTCCCTGGGTCCAGCCGCTGCTAGAGGAGGAAATATGCCTGCTGTCTATGTCTAAAATGTACATGGCAGACAAGGCTGGAACATGAAATTGCATCCAGTACAGGATCAAATCCACCTGTCTTGACATGGCGAGTCTTCTGATTCCTCCTTGACATGGCGTTTAAATCAGGAAAAGCTGACTCTCCAGTAAATGGCCCAAGAATTAGAAATAGTTAAATTGTCCGAAATTCTGCACCAACAGACTGGCATCCATCACAAGGATGGATCCAAAGGATGGGAAACAAGGACTTAATTGATTCCAGAGCTAAGGCAGAGCCACAAACTGGCAGTGGAGGAGCAGAAGCACCACATTTAGGAATTGCTGAAGCACTGGAAAAATGGGAACATGAAGGTAAGCATCCTTGATGTTTACAGATGCCAGAAACTCCCTAGTGGGAGAATACAATGACAGATTTGGTCTACTTCATGTGGAATTTGTGGACCAGAATGAAGACAGTCAGAATGGGCACCCAATACGGTGGGACTGTCCCTCCTGTGTCTAGAATCATATACTGCAACCATGTGGTGGCAAGGTCAGGAACTCACAAAACACGGACAGTTGGTAAGCAGGTGAAGGTAGGATGGCTGAAGATGACCAAAGTCACTGTAAGCGGGCAGCAGGAATGGGCTGAAAACTGGAGTTCAACGTTCCCCCTTTGCAAGTAATAGCAGCAGTTAGAGGTCTCCTTGAAGCTGTATGGCAGGAAAGAAAGCATACAGTCCCCACAAGCAACTCTACACCCAGAGCTTGGCCCAACCACTCGCCAAGTGAGTATTCAAAGACAGGACAAATTCTGAGGCAAGGTCAGCAGCTCTGGACCTGGAAAGAGCTTTAAAGCTAACCTACACCAAAATGGAGTCCAGAAAGCTCCCCACGCAGAGTCCAGTGCCTAAAGATAACTTCTAGTCAATCCTTGAAGCATCCAGTCCAGCATGCTCATAAAGTCAAGTTATGGAAGACCGCACCAGACAACTTCAATCAAAGAGACAAAGTTCCAGCAGAGATGAAGAGTTGTGACTGAAAAGAAAATAAATTGCAGAAGAAAAAGTGTGAGCAAAAAAAAAATAGGTAACACAGCAGAGCTTAAGTGGACATCCTTCCTCCTAGGACACTAACGAAAATAATTGAGGCATGCTGGTGGTAGGATGGGCAATCCTGGGCTGGATTCCATTTTGTTGTTTGGCAGTGTCCAATCTTCCTTTAGATGGCAATAAACCTGTAGGTTAAACACTTCCTGTGCCCCTCAATGGACAACAAAGACCCTTTGTCACGCTGCTAGACATGCGTTTTTGTTTGTGGCCCCACTGCAAAGATTTTCTATCACTTCCAGTCCTGACACAAGGTAAGGGACAAAGACAGCAATAAAACATGACAGAGGCTCGAATGCTTCCCTGCACAAAAGCAAAATAATTTATAAGATATTATAAAATAAGTGCCCTTACTTTCACCATTCAGAACTTAACATAATTCTTGATAAAAAAAAAAACTGACTTTTCCCAAAACCATCCACACTCATCACAAGACGTTGTCTAGACAAAGAGCTCCGGATGGCTGCACTCCCAACATAACATCCAAAAAACACCTTTATTGGAAATCCATAAGAGCAACACAAATACATAGATAAACAGACAGGGGATATAAGAGGTTAACGCGTTTCACAGTGAAAACTTGCTTTCTCAAAACTCTGAGGTTTTGCCAAACCATGTTTTCAGTGTGAAACACATTAACCTCTTCCCTCCCCTGTCTGTACATCTGTGTATTTTTGTTGCTCTTATGGATTTTCAATAAAGTTATTTTTTGGATCTTAAATTGGGAGTGCAGCCACCCAGAGTTCTTTGTTAACATTACTACAGCTGCGACTGGGTGTGCGCCCCAGACTTTACGGATCACACAGTCATATGCTGGCTGACCTTTGAGCAGCAGGACTATGTATACAAAGACCTTGTAATGACGTCCTCCAATTCGTTCTACCCATATCAGACCTTTGACACATTTACTGAAGACACACACACACTTTAGCTGCCTTGTAAATGTGATGTCTGGACTACTGGTGTTTTGCTGTACCTTCAGGGAGGAAATGGCTGCCTCCAGGTATGCCAACTCTCTGTGCATTGCTTTATCTGTTCCCATAGTCTAGATTTAGGGACCACACTTATCAGAGGTATCTTGACATGGGCTTCCACACATATTTGAAAGTGTCTGCAACTAAAAACTGTTTTTAGAGCATTAGCTACTTTTTTTTTTTTTTTTTTTGCTGGCTTGCTTGAAAGTATGCTGGAGGTCCCTTTTGTAAAGGCTTCTCAAAATCTCACCTAAATCATGTCTACCTCCTCACCAAACCTTTGTCAGTGTTGTTTACCCACCTCTCCCAATTTGTCCAACTTGACATAAGTCTCCAACTTCCCAAAACCAATCTCTGACTGAAAGGGAAAAAAATGTCAATGTAATTCAAAACCAACGTGAAAAAGGAAACCAAAAAAGGGACTTTCCATCAAGTTCAACGTCAATACAAAATTAGTTTAAAGACAGGTTTACTTACCAAAGAGACTCGTCTTAATCGCCTACTCAGGGGCTTGTCAAACGGAGGGCTACTGAGAGCCAGCTTCTCCAGGTAACCCTCAGGAAGACGAATATCCGCTGGGAGGGACAGACGCTTATTAATATCCTGGAGAAAGAGTAAGATGCAGGTTATATGAGAGCAGGCACAATCCAAGGGATCTTAGGCTCAAGTTTCCAACCCAACACAATGAAAAATATCAACACAACAACAGGAGGGGATCTATTCAGGATAATATGAAAACCTAAATTCTGCAAAGGCTTAAGGTTTAAAACGACGTAGGTAAATTAGGAAATCTGTAAAAGGGACCTGTCGGAATAAAAATATGGAAGCAGAAACTGTTGTTGAAGACGCAGGCTTCAGGGCTGTCATGTTTATCCTTCTTTCACAAGCATGCAGTAGTGAAGGGTTGGGACAACCATAATGCAAATGTGTCTTCCGAGTCAGTGAGGCCAGATAATCAAGAAGATGGCAACTTCCATATTTTTAATATAAGTATCCTCTAACCACTTGCCAACCGCGCTGTAGCCGTCCAGTTCTGGGAGGGCGTCATATGATGTCCTCCCAGAATGCGCCCTCCCGCACGCCCCCGGGGGCACGCACCCGGCGATCTCCATGATCGCTGTGTCCTATGGACACAGCTGATCACGTGATGTTGTAAAAGGCCAAATCACAGCAGCCTTTTACCACATGATCAGCTGTGTCCAATGACAGCAGATCACCGGTAAATGCAGTTGCTGGTTATCAGCTGTACTTTCCTCACGCTGTGACAGCATGAGGAAAGTACTGCCGATAACCAGCAATTGTCAGAGGACGGATCGGCACCGATCATCTGGGCACCAATGGTCAGTGCCCTGATGATCAGTGCCCAGCAGTGCCACCCACCTGTGCCCATCAGTGCCACCCACCAGTGCTGCCCAGCAGTACCACCCATCAGTGCCCAGCAGTGCCACCCATCATTGCTGCCTATCAGTGCCCATCAATGTGGCCTATCAGTGCCCATCATTGTTGCATATCAGTGCAGCATCATCAGTGCCACCTATAAGTGTCCATCAGTGCTGCCTATCCGTGCGACCTCATGAGTGCTGCCTATTAGTGCCCCATCAGTGCTGCCTAGCAGTGCCCATCAGTGCTGCCTATTAGTGCAGCCTCATCAATGCACATCAGTGAAGTAGAAAAATTACCTGTTTGCTAAATTTTATAATAGAAACAAAGAAAAACTTTTTTTTTTTTTCAAATTGTTTGATTTTTTTTTTTTATAGCGCAAAAATAAAACACCCAGTGGCGATTGAACCAAAAGAAAGCTCTATTTGTGTGAAAAAAAAAATGTCATAGGGTACAGTGTTGCAAGACCGCGCATTTGTCATTCAAAGTGCAACAGCGCTGAAAGCTGAAAATTGGCCTGGGAAGGAAGAAGGTATAAGTGCCAGGTAGGCAAGTGGTTAATTAATAGTCTTCTTAAGAAAGAGGAACCCCTGTGCAGTGGTCAACCAATACATAAATGACAGCAAGAAGGAGATAAACCCCATCAGTTTCACCTCTGTGGATATTTTACGAGCTGCATTGTTTCTCATCCTCACTCGCACCGGTGACTGAACCTCATCTGAAGAGCCAGATGCTTGGTCACTCTCTCCATCCGAACCCATCTTTAGGTCTTCATGTACAATCTCTGCGCAGAAGGAAGAAATGGGTCATATGAAGGAAACTAGCAAGTCTGAGATTACAAGAAAACAGACCAAATCTGTAAGATGAAAAGCATTTCTAAAATGGCTACTAAAGTTTGTGTAGGTATCTTGTTGGACTTAATAGATGGCTGGATAGGTTAACTGAAGAAAAGATCAAAATTGGCTGCCAAGAAGCAGAGTACAATGGTGAAAAAATGTAAAAAAACAAACAAAAAAAAAAACAGTATGACTTCATGGATTGAGTGGGAGAGCAGACACGCCAGAAACAAGTATGTCATGGTTAAAGAAAAACAAAGGTAATGAAGACTTTGGAATGCCAGGAGAGAGAAAGAGGCTCCAGTTTCTGTTCCAATAAAGTTCCAACGATACAATGCCTTTGACAAAAGTAGTGCAGGCTTGGACCAGGAACCAGGTGGTCAATTATCCTCAATACAAAACTATAGTTTGTACTCATTTATGTAGCCTTTCCAACTGCCATTAATGAAAAAAAACATGTTAAAATCTACTGAAAATTTTGTGTTGACTCCTGAAATGAACTTTTTTGGTAGGCGGGGTGAGGAGTGCAGAACAATTCAGTGGCAGTTACATCTGGCTCTGAAGGTGATTTAGGAGAAAATGCCAAAATATCCCACAAGAATAGAAATAGAAATTAAGGTCTGCTAAAACAAGGTGTTAACATTGGGTCAGTCTACTATGTAAGGTGGAGGCGGCTATCTTGCTTCAACCATCACACATGAGATACTACCCCAAAAGCAGAGCCCTGGGCAAAAATCATAACAGCCGGGTCTCAGTTACACATCTCACAGCTACAAGTATCTTCTGTGTGCACATTACCACACTTTTTTCACCCTGAAAATCTGACAAGTGTCTACTGAAAATAGAAAATGCTACTTAACACCCTCCCGCCCGGTCTATAGCAGATTGACGGCCAGGCGGGACACTCGCTATTGTGACTGGGCATCATATGACGTCCTGTCAAAACGAGCTGCTCACGCGGCTGCGGCACGATCTGTCACTGGCTGTGTCCACGGGACACAGCTGATGAAATATCACTACACCTGCCCTTTGCCAGTGTGACCGCTGTGACCAATCACAGCAGATCACATGTCAATTGTATACAATGGATGGCTTCCTGTCATGCCATCCATTGTATACAATATGTTGTTAGCTGTGACTGGTCAAGGCAGCCACATGATACAGACAGGGCCAATCACAGCCCAGCTGTATCATGTTATCAGCTCTGCCCAATCACAGCTAATCACAACAAAAGACTGAATGAATCAGTTTCATTCAGTAACAATGATTGCAAATATCAATGAAATACATTGGTATTAGCAATCATAATGTGTTAAAAGAAAAAAAAAATCCTGGTCACTTGCCCAGAGTACTTCAATGTTACTATGGTAACATTGTATTGCTTTGGTCACAGTGTGCTGAAAAATACAAATTCAATTATTATTATTTTCACCAAAGAAATGTAGCAGAATACATTTTGACCTAAACTTATGAAGAAATGTTATTTATTTGCAAACTTTTATAACAGAAACTAAGAAAAGTGCTTTTTTTTTTCAAAAGTTTCAGGTGTTTTTTTTTGTTTTATTTAGCAAAAAATAAAAAACTCAGTGGTGATTAAATACCAATAGAAGAAAGCTCTATTTGTGTGGAAAGAAAATGATAATTTCAGATGGGTAGTGTTGCATGACCGTGCAATTGTCATTCAAAGTGCCACAGCGCTAAAAGCTGAAAATTGGCCTGGGCAGAAAGGAGGTATAAGTACTCGGTATTGAAGTGGTTAAAGCGGAACTTCACCCTAAAAAGGGAAATTCTGCTTTAGCACCTCCTTTCCCCCTCCTCTCCCACTTTTGGAGATACCTGCTCCCATTTGCACTCAGACTGCCTAGGCCAGGGGTAGGCAACCTGCGGCTCTCTAGCTGTTGTGGAACTACATTTCCCATGAGGCATTGCAAAGATTACAAAACTGACAATTACAGCTATGACTTGCAGAGGCATGATGGAACTTGTAGTCCTGCGGCTCTCAGGTTGCCTACCCCTGGCCTAGGCAATAGGAGTGGAAATCCCCCACCACCACACCACCACAGGTCCCAGAAGGCTGTGGGACCATTCACACAATGCAACGCGACTTGTGCATACGCAATGGAAAGCAAGCTGTGAAGCCACAAGAAGTCATAGCTGGCTTCCCTTAGTAAAGATGCCAACACCAGGGACCTGAATGCTGGCAAAGAACCAGTCCAGGTCAGGACAGTGCTGGATCCCTGGACTGGTAGGTATCCTTTTTTTTTTTTGTAGTATTTGTAGCTGCTGACTTTTTTTATTTTTGTTAAGACTGAAGCTCCTCTTCAAGTTCAGCTTCTCCTCCCCCAGCTTACTGATTGGGCAATGAAGGGGTAACATAACACTAGTCAATCCTTTGCTCTCCCTTTTATGGCAAATAGGTTGTGTTAGACCCCATGTACACGGGACACTTCTGAACGATGGAAACTGACTGCTGGAAAACGTAGGTTAAAAACCGTCTGTTTAGCCGCGTTTGCATAATGTGTTTATGCGCGTTTATGCACGTTTGCGTTTAGAAGCGTTTTAAGCACAGGAGAACCTGCCAAATGCCCAGAATGCACTGAAAAGTGGTAAATGATTAACTATTTCAGACTGTTTCAGAGAAAAGCAGAGAGTAGAAGAAGAGAGAGCAGTAGGTGTTGAGATTAGCCTAGGGGTGAGTTGCTCATTAACATCTCTTTTGTTTCCAAAGGTGGGAAAGGTGTCTGCTGGAGTGAGTCATTAAGGCCACCTGGCAGGGGGTCTGCATGAGGAATTTTAGGTGTGAATGTCCATTAACATATCTTTTGTTTCCAAGGGTGGGAGAGGTCTGAATTGGTCATTTCAATGTGTGACAAGCTTGGTAGGAATATCCTGTGTTCAGTGTTTAGTCCATTTGAGTACCTTGAAAATGCTTTGCATGCATTTTTCATGATGAAAAAAGGCTCTGGACAGCATCGGGAACTGGAAGAGTTAAAAAAACATTTTCAAAAGCAAATGCTTATAAACGCATTTAGCCACGTTTACAAGCGCTTTGTCTTTGAAACGCTGATAAAATCAACTTCTGAACGCAAGTTTTCTGCGTTGAAAAAAACGACTGTAAACTCAAATGCCTGTAAACGACTGTAAACGAAGATGTGTACATGGACACATAGGAAAACATTAGGGTGAGTTCAGGGGCTGCTGGAAAAAACTCTGAACAGCTCCTAAACGCGAGTTTATCAGCTGCAGTGTACATGAGCCCTTAGACAGCCCCATCCCTGTACAAGGTAATAAAGCTTGGACTGGCCCAGAATGTCACATCTTCGCCCAGTCCAAGTGCTATAGTGCATGGGTTTACGTGTGGTGAATATAAAGAGTATTTATATAAGCTGTATTAAAATGACACTAGTTTTGTTTATTGATGAATCTACAACTGTAATTTGTTTTAATATTTGCATGGTGTTGCACTTTCAAATGCTTGAGTATGCAAGGTAATCCTTTCTTTCGTTAGTTCCAGATGAATGGGTTGAAGAATAAAGTACATGATTACACTGTGGCACTAAAGTATGTATAACTAAAGGCAAACTTTTTTCTTTAGTTTTGGATAGAGTGGAAAGGGATTAGAACACTTGTCAGTTTTTCACTGCTGTCGGTGTCCCCATTAGGGAGATTCGCTCTCTGTTTATCCTGTTTACCATTATCATCGAAAGTGAAAAGTAAAAAAAAAAAATCCAAAATTTTATATTGTCCCCAAAAAAGTAACAGAGGAGAAGTCTTCCAATGGGGGGCACTAGTTCTGGTGACCTGGGGGTCCCCGAGGGATCCCCTTAACATCTTCCTGTCCGGCCCATGTTGATAAACGGCTGGACGGAAGCACTGTCGATGCGTGAGGACGTTTCTAAACGTCCCCCCGCATCCATTGCCTGTGCACGCTCCCTGGGAACACAGATCACTGTACGGGACCTCTGTGTGAGGTCCCGATTCCTGTGATCACCGATTGGCAATCAGTGATCACATGAACAGCAGTAAACAAGATGTCACTTCAAGACATCATTGCTTACTACTTGTGAAATCTGTGAATGATCACAGAGGTCACATGGTACAAGGCTATTCACAACAGCCTTGTACCATGTGACAAGCTGTGACCAATCACAGCTCTCACAGTATTTCTCAATGGCTGCAGGAAGTTGCTTGCTCTAGGGCAGTGCTTCTCAAATAGTGGGGCGCGCCCCGCTCCGTCAAGGGGGGCGCATTTGACCTCGGGGAGCATACTTTTCTATTTTGATTAATTAATCCATACATTTCTTTCTTTTTTTATTCTCTTATAGTATGAGAGAATAAAAAAAGAAAGAAATGTGGATCAATTTACAACAAAGAATAGCTTTATTAACTGTAGCAGAAAAGATTTAAACTGCATTAGAAATTCAAAAAAAATTAAATCCTTAATTAAACTATAAACATTTTTTGATTGGACATGTCAAACCATATGATACTGAAAAAATACATAAAATCAATAAATAATAATGAATTCAAACCGATCACCAACATTTACTTAGGCTTGACATGTCCAATCAAAAAATGTTTATAGTTTAATTAAGGATTTAATTTTTTTTGAATTTCTAATGCACTTTAAATCTTTTCTGCTACAGTTAATAAAGCTATTCTTTGTTGTAAATTGATCCACATTTCTTTCTTTTTTTATTCTCTTATACGTTAATAAGGATACAGTGTTATGCAGAGGTGTACTTATAACAATTTTATAGACAAATTATACTATTTACAGTCGCGCGGGGGGCGCGAAATGTTTTTTCTTCTTCCTAGGGGGGCATGACAGAAAATAATTGAGAAACACTGCTCTAGGGGCACTTGAGAGGGGGGAGAGGCCAGGAGTGCCGGCAGGAAAAGGAGGAACGGGGCTGCTCTGTGCAAAACCACTGCAGAAAGCAGCCTT